CAACACCCCTGGGTACTGTAGACGGCTGAATGATTACCAATATCCTTTTGGCGACTCTCTACCCTAAAAAGCACATATTTATGCAGAAGCCCGCGACTTTGGCAATGATCCCTATGAGGCTTTGCTTTATAACTTCAAGTTCGATTTCATGTTGCATGTTCTTTTCAATTAACTGCTCCCTGATGTTTAAACCTAATCCCAGTTTAGGGCCCTGCATTACTCAGGGACAGCTGCCGGCTCCAGCGAACTCAGCAGAAGCTCTTGTAGTTGATCCACCGTTTCGACAACAACATCCTGGACTTTCTGGGTTTTCAGGGTTTAGTGTTTAGGGGCACGCTGTTGTGGGAAGATGCTTCCGCACATGCTGCCAAAAGCTTAGGTAGGACTGCATTGTTCAAAGCGAGCAAAAACAAAATAGCAATGTGAAACTCTTCCCAGCTTCGAAGAAATCTTCCAGCTCTTCCCTGCTGTGGGATCCCCATGTGACTCCCACTGACGCCATGCCCGCAGCACGGGCTGCTCTTCCATCATTCGGGCCATCCCCAACGTATAGGTACCTCAGCTACTACTCGGCAGAGCACCATCCATTCTCAAATGAAACCGGTCATTTCATTTTCCTTTGCAACTTCTAGCCTTCAAGGGCCTTTAATTAACGGTAACCTGCCTTTGCTCTTCCTGACAGTATGTGTCGCAGTATGTGTATAGGCAGTGATGTGAGCTCACGGGGCTGCTTACGTGAAGTAGAACACAGAAGAGGAAGCCTCCTATTCAATAGGAGCTATTTGGTCCATATCTTTTCATCCAAACCCACATGCTTGCATGTATACGAAAAAGTACAACGGGCCACTGGTTATGACTTGGGTTTTCAGCACCGAACAACTGAACATCAACTTCACATGAGCAAGCTGTCTTCCAGCGCTCACCCTAAACTCTAAACCCTAAACCCTACCCGTGTAATTTATCCGCAGCGCTGGGACGCTTCGAGGTCTCCCAGCTCTGCAGCGCACTGTAGCAAGCCATCGGGCGCAGGCTTCGCTGCCGGTACTGAATCTGCACCGTGGCGAACCTTATTATTATTCTGATTATTATTATTATTGTTATTATTCTGATTATTTTTATTATTGTTATTATTATTGTTGTTATTATTATTGTTTTTATTCTGAGTATTATTATTATTGTTATTATTATTATTATCCTTATTATTATTGTTCTTATTATTATTACTGGTATTTTTATTCTGAGTGTCCCCAAAGACTTCAGGTAACGCAGGGTAAGCAGATTGCAATCAGTATTGACCATCGAAATCGATAGCAGCAGGGCTATAAATCACAGCCCCGTCATCACTGTGGACTTGGGCCCTGGGAGGTTGGTAATTACGCGAACAAACCTGGGATCATTGTGGATGTAAATTAGTGAGAGCATTGGAACTTGGAAAACAAAATAAGGAGCACAGAAGAGCCACTTGAGGATACTGTGGATGTAGCAGATGTATGGCCCCGGCTCTGTCACAATGTTGATTTAGGACTGTGAGGAACCGATTGTTCGGCAATCAATGACTGGCTTCAGGTTCTGAGGGCACCCAGTTTCCGACGAAAACGCGTTGTTGCGTCCCCAAGGTTGTCAGAGAAACAACTGCGGAAGAGTTTCTGCGATGGAGTCAGGGTCGTCTGGTGACGCTTAAAACTTTGCCACTTTCGCGATGCAGCCTGGGTCGGGACCACTACGACAATGCGCATCTTTGCAACCTCGTTGGGAATTTGTCTGTGCAGACTTTATGATCTGTGATGCTGACAAGTTAGATCTGCTTTAGCGTTTCGAAGTTTGGGCCGGAAACACCACAACGACGCACATGTTTTTGGAACTCGGTGGGGAGTCCTTCATGTGTGTTGAAGTTTGGGCCGGGAACATTGCGAAACCGCGCATTCTTTTCGACCCTGGCTGCTTGTGGTTTGCGACGCGGACAAGTTTGACCCTTTACGTGTTGCAGTTTGGGCCGCGGGGACACCACGACAAGGCGCCGCATGGTTTTCGACGTCTGTCTGAGTTCGGCGGCTACTTCTTGGCATTGCTGAAAGACTCAGTTCAAGACCAAAGGATAAACCCCAAACCCTAAAAGTCAACAGTCCCTCAGGGTCCATTCCGAATAATTGGGAATTTTGGGCTTTGGTAATAATAATTGTAGAGCACGGTTTGGGCAAGTATCTGATTATTAGGTACTTGGACCCTTAGGGAGTGAGAGTAGGCAGCGCGAAACATACTCCTCAACCGCTCGCTTGTTCTCATAATCTCGTCCCACCAAAAATTCAGAACCGCCCCACCCCCCCATTTCAAACATTCCCATTGTAGAATACCATAATACATACGTAGATTTATTTGATATGAGAAGGGGTTTGGGGTTTTGATATCAGGAGGAGGAGATTGCTCACAAAACGAAGCTGCAGCCATGACTAACCAACTCCTGGAGACTTTTTGGCCCTCACCCACAAGCATCTCCAGATCTAGGACTATTTCAAGTTGATCATAACCTCTAAAAAAAGGTGAATTTAAACTCATGCCGTAATTGAGTTTACATAATCATACATAATCATACATACATAGCCATACATGCATACACGCATGCATGCGTACATGCATACACGCATAAATGCATGTGTGCATACGTGCATACTTGCATACATGGATATATGCATACATGCGTACATTCCGGCGTACATACGTACATACGTTCATACGTAAGTACGTACATATGTACATACGTACCTACGTACCTACGCGTACATACGTACATACGGACATATGTCATATGTACATACGCACATACGTATGTACATACATGCATGCATGCATACATGCATACATGCATACCTTGCGTACGTACGTACGTGCATACGTACATACATACGTACATACATACGTACATACATACATACATACATACATACGTACATACATGCATGCATACATACATGCATTCATGCGTACATGCATACATGCATACCTTGCGTACGTACGTACGTGCATACGTACATACATACGTACATACATACGTACATACATACATACATACGTACATACATGCATGCATACATGCATGCATTCATGCGTACATGCATACATGCATAC